GCACATCTCATAAAAATCTGACTATTTATAACAATTATATTATTTTATAGAACAGAAGATTTTTAAAAAGACTACGTTCATCTGAAATAAGAGTGCCTAGAGGTCAGAAATGCAAAGACACTATCTCAAAACCATGGTGACTGATGTGCTTGCTTTGGGTGAATGATTTTCATATTATCATTAATCAACTCTTCATTTGAAAAGCCCACACAAGGGAATTACTGGAAGAGTAGATATCTCATTTAATTTCTTCTAAAATGCCTTTCCTTGTTTCAAACATGGTTTTCATATTCAGCTTTCAAGGTTGCTACTATTTTGGAATAATAGCAACAACAGATTGATGTGAATCCTAAATGGTGCTTACTCAGTGCAGTAATTGGAAGCTTCGATGGTTATGCAAATAAATGTCCCTCAGAGGAAAGAAAGAGAGATTGGCCCTGAAAGTGCAGCTGTGAAAAGCTGGTGCCTTGTAAATGGAGAAGCAGACTAGATCAAGAAGGGAAATTTAAGTAGAAACGACCAATATAGATGACTGCGTGGCATAATGATATTCAGCAGAGACACTCAAGTTCAAGGTGGGATGGGAAGTATAAATTTCAATGCATAAAATAAAGTGAAGATAAAATGTATCTTAATTTTTGAATAAAGTACACTTTAATTGATATCATGAATTCTCCTTCTATTAAAGTAGAAGTATGGTCAGTTACCTACGCCAAAAAAGCACTCCAAGTCCAGTATCTAGACCTGCTCAGGGTGGCAGGTTTCTTGCCAGCTTCCCATTCACTGACTGTAGCATTTTACTTACTACCTCATTGATAGTTTTAAACCTTGTAAAATGCTACAGCTTTGTTATTGGTTACCATTCTAAGTACAGTCAAAAAACACATTAAAGAGAAAGCTTATTTGATTCATTAGCAATTCACAGCCTATAGATTTCTTTTTGCTGGTCCTTTTTGCACTTTCAGTGAAACAAACAGTGCAATTGTCCCTTCTGTTTTTAGAGCAGCAGCTGTAAAAGTAATTAATGGCTAAAGAAACTCCAGCACGTCCTGCACAGGCCCATTCTGTATGCAGCACAAGCTCCGGTCCCAGGCTGCTGCCTCTGCACGCTTGGGGACCCCGAGAGAGAATCTTGGTGAATAGTCCCTAGAGGATTCTTCTCCCATATCTGGAGTCTCCTCAGCGTTCTTAGTCATTTTGGTTACTGACACCAAAAAAGAAAAAATTCATACTACTTCCAATAATGACGGTGGTACTTACACAAGAATTGTTTCTTAATCTTTGGAAATTAACAAGTATACACTTAGATTTTTCTATGTGTCATCAGTAAAGAAGTAAGAGTTGTCATTCTTTTTATAAAAGAATGTTTTTCCCAATTATTTTTCTCTTCCTTTGCAATCTTCCCTTTCTTCTTTTTGTCTCTCTACCTCCCTTCCAAATATACCTGTGCCAGAAACATCCCTGCAGTTAGACCATTTTCAATTCAAGGAGGAAGCTTTCCCTACATGACACTACCTTGTCTTTGGACTTCATATAGGACTGGCACCAACAGGCCTCCTTCCAGACCTGTCAAGGTTCTTACTAGCTGTGACCTGCAGCAAATTACTTGCCCTTCTGGGTTTTGAATTTTCTGATCTATAAAATAAGGACCACAATACCTGCTTGGTCTGCTTTATAGCATTCTTGAGGGATTGCAGTGGTAAATGGGTTTGTAAGCCATAACATTCTACACAAGCATAAAGAATGGTGACTTTACTGATTTGGATAAAAATGAGACTCTCTAGATGCAAGAATTATAGAGCAGTGTTGGTCCAGCATTGTTTTATTTCATCTCACAGACTCATCTAAAAACATCAAGGTGTAGAGTTGATGTGGCATATTTCCTGTTGGGCCGCAGAGTACACTTTTGCCAAGCATGGAGGGGAAGGTGAGCTTTCTGTGCGAGAGCCCAGCCGGACTGCATCTGCAGGAGAGGTTACTGACCTACACATTCTCAGACTGTCTTCTTGTGGCCTCAGCTAGAACGTTGCTTCTTCCAAATGCTTAGTAAAGCGCTGTGAGTTTGTTATAGCTGTGGCCCCACCCTTGGGAGAATGCCCAGGGGATGTGGACAGCCCCCAGGCAGCCCACAGGAAGCTGGAACAGAAAGTGCAGAGTCACTGTGTACCTGAGCACCATCAGGCATATCATTCTCCATCACTTATATTTGCAGTGGGTTCTCTCACAAATGTCCACTATTTGACATTTGAGGATGTGTTTTGTTAGCCATTTATTCAGCACTGTAAGAAGGTAATGCTTACCCAGTAAATATTAGATAAAAGTTAGTAAAAATTATGACTGTATTATAGACTCAGGGACGAAAATTATTTTGACCATGCCCAGGTAAAAAACTAGTAATTAAAAAATAGCATTCAAGATATTATTGAGATCCCTCATAGGTTTAATTTTCTCCTGTTCTTATCCAGGTTTAAGTATGGTATGGATTAACGGAGTCTATAAAAATTGTAAAAATGCATTTGCTAAACTTATTGGTAACAAGATTAATTTCACAGGAAATATCTTAAGTTTTGTAAGGCCTCTAAAACAGTGGTTCTCAAACTTATTGATTTCAGAATGCTTTTATATTCATAAATCATTTGGATTTCAAAAGGGTCCTGTTTATGTGAAATATGTCAATGTATTCACTGCATTACAAACATGGGAAGCTTTAAAAAATGTTATTCATTAACTCAATTAAAAGTAACAAAAGAAAGCCTAGTACCTGTTAACGTCAGTGTAATGATAGCATCATGTGTCCTATGGTTACTGAATAAATCTACTCTACATCTATGGAGGAAGGAGAATGAGAAAGACAAATGATTCTAAGTATTTGTTATTTGAGAACCTCCTTGAAAATGTTTGTTCTAAAATATTTTAGTCACTATTAAAGTATCGTAGTAAAATAAGATATCACAATTCTTATAGTAGGATTTTGTTATGGCTCGTGTCTGAATGTTCCCCTAGATCCAGTTGTGGGTGGGAAGCTTCAAGGGTGGCTGTTTTGGGGTGTGTGATGCTGGGATTAAGGGTGTGATGCTGGCATTAAAGTGCTCCTAGGTGTGGATGGTGCTACCCAAAAGGCAGGTAGCCTGTATGGACTGTAGGGGGACAGCTACTGTGCTTCTTCTGCCACTGCTGCTGCTTGCTGCCTTCTGCCTGCCATGCCATGAACTGCTTCTCTTCTGTGATGCCCCTGTCCGATGCCATCCTGCCTTGGAGCCAGCGGACTATGGACTGAAACCTCTACCAGCTGTGAGTTGAAATACACCTTTCCTCCTTTAACTTGTGGGTGTTGGGTACTTTGTTTCAGCAATGAAAAAAAAACAACTAAGACATGTCTTAATAGTTACTTTAATTGATTTTTAAAAAGTGTATTTGCATTGATAAAGATTGTGCACAATGAGTTTGAAGCTTCATTCTGCCACATACAAGTACATTGGTTGAATGATATTGGACAAGATATTTAAGTTTCTGGGTCTCAGTAACCTTGTGTGGACAATAAAAATATACTTACCTCTTGCAGGTGTGATAAACAACTGCCTTAATACATATGTATTAGTTAGGGTTCTCTCAAGAAACAAACCAATAGGATGGATGGATGGATGGATGGATGGATGGATGGATGGATGGTTGGATGGATGGATGGAAAGATAGGTACAAACATACAATATTTTTTAAAGAATTGGCCAAAGTTATCTGGAAATTGGCAAAATATAAAATATTTAGGATAGATCAGCAGGGTAAAGACTTAGGAAGGAGCTATTGTTACAGTTAAGACCAATAGCCATTTACTGGTTGAATTCCTTTTTGTTCCAGGGAAATTCAATCTTTAGTTCTACTCTAGCCTTCAACTTACTGAATGAGGCCAATTCACACTGTGGAGGGTCATTTGCTTAACTCAGAAGTCCACTGGTTTAAATGTCAACCTCACCCAAAGACACCCTCATAGAAACATCAAGAACAAGGTTTGACATATCTGGACACCATGACCTACCCAAACTGACATGTAAAATTTGATATGAACTGTTAGTGTTGTATTGAATGTGTTTTTGTTTATAGATATTGTTGCATGAAAAATCAAGATTTTTTTTGTTTTTGTTTTTGTTTTTGTTTTCTTGTCTTTTTGAGACAGGGTCTCACTATGCAATTCAGGCCAGCCTTGAGCTCACTTTGTTTTTATTTTTCTTTTTGTTTTTGTCTTTGTTTTTTGGTCTTGAACTTGCAACGATCCTCCTGCCTAGCCTCCCAAGTGCTGGGATTACAGGTGTGCACCACCCTGATGGGCTGAAAAATCAAGTTATTCATAAAGTAAATTTTCTTTGTTAACCCACAAAACCAATATGAGTACATATATAATCTCATTTTTTATATATTCTCATATATGTATATAAATTTAAATATATATTTTTAAAAGTTAAAAAGTAATGAAGAATAACCTGAATTTTCATAGATAATATTTTATATTTTTGTGTCAATATATAATTCAGACAAAGCAATTAAAAATATAACCCAGAAACAGATTCTAATGCAAATAGTGAGCTGATATAATAAAAATTGTCATCACAAACCAAAGAAAATTGAGTCAACTATTCCAGAGTGTTTAAGAAATTCTTGAAGTTATTCTTTTAAAAGTCACTTTATATCACCACTCTGCTCTATGAAATACATTCCACTTAGATTTAAAAATAAACTGCTAAAATACACACACACACAAAGATAATTTATAGGTCCATATTTAGCTTTTCTTTGGATAGTATTCCTTAACTTAGAAATCACTTAAGGTTTCATAAAACATGAGTATATTGAATATATTAAATTACCAATTTAAACTAATTGACAAAGAATGTCCATGTAAACACACAGTGATTAGTATATTTAAAATATCATAAGACTGTATAAATTGACAACAACCCAAGACTCCATTAGAAAAGAAAGATAATGCTATATTATTAGGCATCATACTTCATACTTCTGTTAGCTTTCTTCCTTAGAGTCACAGGGATGGAAACAGTACAGGTTCCTTATTGTAATGGAGATTGACGTAGGATCTCCATTACATTGGATCTCCATTACATTAATATAAAGGAGAAATCAGCCCTTGATGCTGTGCAGCCTCCTGGATCCCACAACCACTTGAACTCTTACAACTACTTGAACTACAATAGAAGATTGGTTTTTATTTCACTCAGAAAGAAAATCTCTAAGGCTGCAGTATAGCTTAGTGGCAGAGTGTCTGCCTTCTACACACAAAGCTAGATTTCTATAACCACAAAAAGAAAAGAGAGAGAGAGGGAGGGAGGGTGCAGGAACAAAGGGAGCAAGGAGGGAGGGAGAGAAAAGAAAGGAAAAATCTCTTTGTGCTTCGTTTGTGCTTTAGAAACTTATCTTGAATAAATGGTTTGGTAACACTGGATAGATTGATGAAGTTGATTTATGAAAACATACTTTGGAGCAGATTTGTAACACCAAATATAAAGTGGATATTTTCTAGAATTTTATTGTTTTAATTGATATGAAATGCCTTATTTACAGTTTCAGTCCTACCCCTATTTTCTGACTTTTTGAAAATGGTCTTTACCAACTATAGTCCTTTTGCGATCCATGTTGCCATGACTGATGAGAACTCGCCAAAAAGTCTACGTCATGCCTCTCACAAGGGCATCATGCATCCATGTCTTAATACCATGTATAAGAACAATTACCATGAAGGATTAAATGCTGCTTTTAAAAGGTGCTTGGAGAGACAGTGGCATTTCTGACCCCCCATTCCCCCATTTCTACAGGAAGCATTGTGCACGTTCACTCTTAGCTCCTGCTATGCCAGACCAGAATGAAAGGTCGTGCTTGACTCATGGAGATTAGGATAGGCTGGTGGACAAAAGAGCCAAACCCTGATCCTGACATCAGAGCCTTTTGTGTGGTTAGCTGGAAGTCAGAAAATCAGAGATCTACTCCTGCTCCAGTCTTGAGGGCTGGTATAGGAACACCTCCGCTAGACACCACATGTAGCTTGTATGCCTGAAGCCATCAGTACTCCTTAATACAGCAAGGCTTTTGTATTATTCATGTGTCTTTGGGCTTGAATTTTTGCTACTTCAACAATTAGATTTACTTTTCTGAATCTCAATGTTCTCATTTATAAAATAGAGACACTACCCACATCATATCACTTAAGTTAGGACTAAACACAATAATATATGTAGCGATGGACCACATACATATGCCATGTGCTTGGCATAGAATGCACTCAACAAATGAAAGTCTCTTCCTTCCCCCTTGTAGATATTTCACTGTCTTATTTCCTAACAAATCCACTTTTGATTAATTTTCAGAAAGGAAAAGATCATAGAAATTCAACTTGTGTGCCACTGACTAATGGGGATAACTAATCTTTCTCAAGCATATTGACATTTTCAATAAGGAAAAATGAGATATTATGCTATGATGGTAACACTTAAGGTAGTGAGAAGAAGCCAATAGAGTTCATGCTTAGAGATTCAGGAGAAACTGTGCAGTAATTTTTATTTTGCAATATTTTTGAATCCATCTTTCAATGCAGGCCTTTGAAAACTGAAATTTCTAATATTTTAAAACAGATGGCATATGAAGATCGCTGTTTGTTAGTGCAGCTTAGGTTTTTAAATTGTTTTTGTAGAAGAGAAATTTTAATCTGCACGTGTGGAGGTTTATAGGATTCAGTTCATACATCTTGGATATTTAAGCAAGAAAGGGAGAAAAGAAAGATAGGAAATAGGAAATAAAACCTTCACATAATTCAAACTGTACACAGGATGGCAAGGATAAAATAAAATGACTGGGATAAATGAGTCCTTTTCCATGAAATAATTCAAGATGTTAATGTATTATAGTTTAATTTATTAATATTTATTTTGAGCTTTCCTGCTCAAGGGTATATCACAAATACTCTTAATTATCATGATCCCACTCTTCCTGTGAGTTCCCATAGAAAGTCACACATCTCCTTCCTGTTGAACTATTGCTCTACAAATCATAGTATTTTGCTAGGATTTTACTGTGTAGAGTTCCACTGCTGTATTTGTGGTAAACTCTATTGTGTATGGTAATAGATGACAACAATAATGCACGGTGCCTAAAAGCTGTAATGACTAGCAATTCTGTGGTCAGTAAAAGGAAATTATATAACATTAGCTGCCAATATGCTGCTAAGGGAAAAGTCTTCACATTTCTCCAGCTCACCCCTTTCCCCTATCACTCACCACTAATAGTAGGTTTTGTAAATAGGTTGGGGGTAAGTGGACCCTGGAGTCCTATTCCCTGAACCCCAAAACCATGCCCAACCCTTCCGCTTGGTTACTTCAACTCAGTGGTAGGCAAGTGCTGGTGTACTTAACTCCCACACAACTGCACTTTGTTCTACCAGAAGTTGTGTCTATATGATCAGTCTAACTAGTTTCATTATTACTTTATCTACGTAAAACATCTTTGCAAAGAGTAGTTTGACTTGTGATACAGGTCATCTTGGACTTTTCCGTCGTATGCATTCTATTGGTGGTGATTTATAGTTGAGAAGGGTATGTCAGGGGAAGGGGTGATTTTATATTGTTTTTACTTTTTAAGCATTTATTATTTAAATAAATAGCAGGGGAAGCCATGGTTACTCTTTCCATATCCCTTTGAGCTTTCCCCTTGACATCTGGTTCTCTTTCACAAGTAATTGGCTTTCAAGTCAAATCTCCCCTAATCACTGTGGAGGGGAGCTGCTCCTCCAGGGAAGGAGGCTCCTTCCGTCAGCCAGGGCTGGCCTCCAGCTTGCCCTGACCCTGTGTCTGGCTTGTGTTGCCCATGATTATGGCTCTTGCTGGCAGCTCAGGAGCCCATGGGACTGTGGCAGAAAAGGAATTTTGAATTAGAGGGGGAAATGGTGCTTTAAAAAGGCAACAGTTTTCCTGATGTCTTATTTTTTTTCCACTCTAGGATATTTTCATACAGTTTGTTCTCCCTTTCAATCAAGTAAGATTCTTTGCACTTCTTAAGGGCCTTGATTTAATTATGTAGTATGTTTGGGTGAAATAAACCAAGATGGGATATTACTGAGAGACTATTAGATGTGTGCAGGTTTATTCACAGAACATGTAACAGAATAGACACTAAAGATGTTTATTTTAAACATCTTTGAGTATAAAGAATGATACATTTATTGAGTTAAAATGTATCAAGGATATGATATTATACCTTTTGTTCCTACTGATTGGTCATTTAAATTGATTTTATGTGTTCCTCAAGGCAATGGTTTCCTTATGCACTTGATTCAGTACTCGAAAACCTCCAGATACCTGTTAAAAAATTAATAATGGTTAAATAACCATGTCTGTTATTGTAGCACTGCCAGATGTTAAAAATTTCCAATAATGTGTTGTGTATAATGAAATTAATTGTTGAATTTAATATTTCCAGTAATTAAAAAATCCTTTAAAAGTTATCTCATTTGTATTTCTCAAAGTTAAATCTTTATTGCCTTCCTTCTCTGCAAACTTGAAGCTTTATCAGCAGTCATTTATTTCCTTGTATGTTTCCTACCCTGCCAGGCTCAGGCCAGTCAGATGCACATACCTGAGATGAACCCCAGCTCCTGGCAGCCAGGAAATTGCTCAGGAATGCAGACTCATAAGTAAGCAATTAAAGCAGTGGCCCCAGTGCCCAGTAAGGCATGTGGCTTTCACACAGGGCAGCAGGTGGTATATTTTCCACCACTTCTTTGCTCCCTCTACCCCAGATATCTTCTCTCAAAATAGATATATGGGTTTATTTCTGGCTGTCCTGCATGTATTTCTTTTCTTTTCCTTTCCAGCCATTTCAATGGAAATGAGCAGAGACTTAACAATAGCTGAAGAAATTGTAATTGCTAATTACAATATGTCACTAATTGTATGATTTTGTAATATGATTTCTATTGGGGCTCCATTAACTTTGGAACTTGTGTTTCTCCTGTCTCCTTTCTTCCCCTTAGCTTCTATGTTGACTATTTTCTCTTTCCATTATCTTTATTTTTCTGAGATTTCCAGAGTGGTTTTCAAAGCATGACCTTTGCTAAGCCTTCTGCATCTGAATCACTTGCTTACTTGCTGCAAATGTTCCAGGTCCCCACTACCCCTCCACTGCCAACAGAATCAGAACTTCTGGGAAAAGTGTCCCTTTCCTTTCCAGGGGATTCTTATTCATGTGGAAGTTTAAAACTATTGAGGAAAAACTCCTACTAGCATCACCTACAACACAATTACTTCTCTAATTAGACTTTTTCCCCCTGCACTTTGTCCTTTCCTATGTAACAATTTTCAAGAGAATTTGTGAGCCAGTGCAAACCAAGATTGCTTGGCCCTGCCTGTCAAATCTATAACCAGCCAATAGTCAGCCAGCAAATACCAATATTAAGAATCATCTAATGAAAGAATATACACCTATGCAATAGCCATAAATCTTGGCCACTTTTCTAGTCTTTTAACACAGTCTTAGAGAAGACCTTAGCATTAAAAGTAGACCCACCCTTAACATTATGATTGTCAAAATTATGTTATAAGATGAAGTGGACATACCTGAAACAACAGAAATAAACTGAATTTTGTAGTTGTTGAGTTTCTTCTTCTTTTATCCGTTTCCAAAAGTTCCAGGTCTCACAAATACTGTAGATTCTATTCTCAGCCTCCTTCATAAGAAACTTTCTGGCACCCCCTTTAGGTTAGAGTTCTTCTGCCTATAACAGTGCTCCTAGAAAATAGTAAGTACTTGAATATATTCTCATTATTATTTTCATTTATGTCATTATTATTTGCACAAAGGAAACATCTAGCATGTTACATATGTGTTCTGTAGGCTCCAAATATTAATTGTCAGTCTTAATATTCTTCCAGATTATACTGAAGTGACATCTTCAGTAATAAAGCATATCATAGATATCACCCAGAATCTGTTTAACTGATTTACTAACATACTGGTAGATGCTTAAAGGGGATTTTGGAGTTTACAACATACTAATCTATATGTCATTGTTATTAAGTGTCAACTAAAAATAACCAGCAAAATTGTCATCAACCCAGTGCTTTCTGTTCTGGCATAACTTTAATTTAGAAGACTCTTCTCTATCTTGGTGTATGATCACTTTATAAAAGATAGCATTTTTTTTAAAAAGTTGGTTATTTGTTATCTCTGACATTTAGTAGAAAAAGATCAAATTTTTACTTTGATTCTTGGCAGTTTATGTCCACTCACCATTTGACTTTTCTCCGCCCAGACCTGTGTACATACTTAGCTCTTAGAAGTCTTGGTGCAAGTCATTTCTCTTTTGAGAAGATATCCTTGACCCCCATCTCAAATCTGGATTTGGTAGCACTCCCACAGCTCCCACAGTACCTTGCCTTTATCCCACTACTGAATGCATTCATCCCTATTGTCTGCTACCTTAGTAGTCTATAAATCTGAACTATTTCAGATTAGAGATCCAGCACCAAGGCAAAGGCCTGGAACACGTTGGTAGATTGATTAGTAAATTAGTGCAAACTACACATGCAAAAACAAGCTGTGGATACTTTAACACCATTAAAGGCATTTAGGACCTTCTTCGCTGTACGTGTTCCCTGGTTCCTACTCTTTGGTGAAGGCTCCCACTTTTTGGTGAAGGCTCCCATATTTAGCAACCATTCTGCTCCATGAATTTATCAGTACATTTCAGTTTTTCTGGTCTCATCCTCTAACGCTCTCAGGAGAAGCTGGCTTGGGCTCAATATTAGATATTCTCAGTCTTCAGGAGGATCCTCTGACCTTGTTTCAGGCTCTCAGCGCAAACCCTAAGGCCCGCTTCAGGGAGAGGACCAAACACTGTGTGTCCTTGGAGTGTTTTCAGTCTGGCATTCTAACCTCTTTGAGAACATGAAAACACATTTTTTCTTTGATTCATTTTATCTGAATGTCTTGGATTGTTCCATAAATGGATTTGTTGATAATAACTATGAACATGTTTTCTTTTAAACTATCTACCTTATGAGTAGTATTTGGTGGTTTTAGAAAGAGAGGTTTTTGCATACTACTGTGAGGGGAGGATCATTAAAATCTCAAGGTTAAATGTAGAGGTTGACTTTTAATGACCTAACTGAAGTAATGTTGTTGTGACACACAACATACATCTCTGACCAGTACATGCATCTTAAATGGTCTCCTATTTGATTAGGCCATGTAAAACACTTTATCAGCAAGTACTGTCTTTTGGAAGGACACTGCTTATACTTCTATATTGTCAATCCAAAGCCAGTAAAGTTTCTAGCTTTTCAAAAGGTACAAACATCTGTATCTCAGACCTGTTAGGTAGTTGGGGCACAAGGGACAAGTTTGTCATTTGGCTGGGAAGTAAACATATTTGGTATTTGTCCAAAGTAAAAATAGTTTTGAAGAGGATCATTCCTTGTCATATTATTTTTTGTTTTTGCACAAATTGTCTTTGATGACTATACTCTGTTGGCACCCAGATGAGCTGCCCATGAGGAGAACTACCCCTGATGGACTTCCTGGCAGAAAAGCCAGAAAACAGGTTCCTTTGATCTGAAAGAATGAACAGAATTCAGAGTGACAGGAGAGCTACTTCTACCCAAGGCAGCTGGTCTGAGTGCAATGACCAAGCATTCCTGGACATCATCTGCAAGTACAGTGATATTTACTTGGTTTTTACTCTGTGTGTGTGTGTGTGTATAACAAATGAATAAATGAATAAGAAGTTTAATCTCTGATCAGAACATATAGCTTATTCCTGATACAGACTTGGAAAATAATTTCCCAATCTAACAATCAACAACCTCATCCTGTTCAGGGTCCCCAACTAGCTGTGCAAGTTCGACTAACAATTCTAGAAAATGACCCCAAAGTCTCCCCATCCTCTCTATTAGCCACTTTATGGTCAGTTTTATGATGCTGTTCATTACAATCCCTACTTTTAGGTAGTTAATAGAGAAACCGGCAGTAGAAGCCCTTGAGTGAGAACTAAGGAACAAGTCTTGTCCTTGAAAAACTACCCAACATAGTGTGTGTGTGTGTGTGTGTGTGTGTGTGTGTGTGTGTGTGTGTGTGTGTGTTGGTTCTGTGTGGGAGATCTGGTCCTAAGCTGGTTGAAGCTGTTTTTTCTTAGAGAGATGAAAGGCCCATGACATGAGGCTCAGTGGCCATGGATTTAAGAAAAGCTTCTCTGCATGTTGGGCTTACTACACAGTTGGTGGAGATCTGTCTGGCACTACTTCTGCTTAGAAGGAAAGAGCAGGCTCTACAACAGTTGAACATGATAGGTTTTGTAAGGTCTTGGGGGCAATTTTAATGAAGGCAGGACTAAACAGACTGGAGAACTAGATCTATGACCCCAGCTTCATTCTTAAAGTAGATTTCCTCCTCACATGACAAGGAGTAAACCAATGATATAGTATAGTCCATTGGCAAGCATGCGCTTTCTGCACAGTGTGGTACAGGATACTTCTGCTTTGTGTTATTGTCCTTCCCTTTCTACTCTTCTGTTTCCTAGCTTATGGAACAATGAATGGCTTTTTATTTAAGATTCCAGCTGAAGTGGAGAAAGCAGGAATATAAATCCTTGGAGAGGAAGGAGCAACAATCAGAAGCCATAATGTCTCATGCGAGGGAGCAGAAGCTAGGTTGGAGAACAGAATAGGCCTTGCAGATGAATCACTCCTGATCTTGTGCACATCAGGTACTGAAGAGGAAGCTGAGAACTAGGCATTTGGGGTGTGGGATGCTGGAGTAGCCATATCAGCTAAGAAGGCTTATTTAAGGGAGAACTATTGCTTTACCAGTAGCACTGACCAGAAGGCAATGCTGAGATATCAGTGCAGAATAGAATGAACCAAGAGCAACATTTGTATGTGACTTATCAGAGACACCATGGAGAGATTAGGACAAAGGAGGGCATGTCAGGAGGCTTGTGAGAGATCTGAGAGTGAGAAGGAGTTGTTTGCTATGGTGGGTATAGATTTTAAAAACAGCTCTACCTTTTCATCTGTGGGCAGTAATGAACTTAGGTAGTGTTCATGAGCCAGCCCAGAAGTTGAAAAAAATGGCTGTCAAAAGGTGAATGTTTGATGTAATATAGTTTTGTAAAGCAAGTACATAGTAGATGAACATTTTTACAAAGTGAGTTTTATAAAGAAGGTATGCAGTGTGTGTATAAAAAGACTTTTATTTTTACAACTAGCACTTACATACTTTTTTCCTCCAACTGTCTGGCCATATTTGACTGCGTAAAATTCAGAAGAAATAGGTACATCAGTACGTGCA